TTGCTCTTTTTACAAAATAATAAAGAAACGCGAATTGGTTAAGCCAAGCTTTTCAATCAAAATCATGCGCAAAAAGTAACTTTTGTGTTATCTTTAAGCACATCCCTACGCACTCTCACCAGAGAAATGTAGGTTGAACACAATTTTACTAGCATTTACATTCACTTGAGGCTGTAAAGCAGACTGTGATAATGGTTTCTTCCTGACCTTGGACAGGATGTGAAGTGGCTCCAATCAATTACTTCAATGCCGATCCTAGTTAAGGGTGTAATCACTGCCGAGGACAGTAAGAACTAGAGAAGTCGAAATCATTTTCTCTTAACTTCTTGTTTCTTTTGTATATGGCGAAATGACTTTTTACGTGCCCTTCTATACAGCACGGCTTGCTATTCAGAATGGAGCAGCTGGTATTATCGTATCTAATCATGGTGCTCGCCAGCTTGATTATGTCCCTTCTACTATCATGGCTCTAGAAGAGGTAACCTTCTCCTCCAAGAAAATATCATATTCGCAAAGCAAAAATGTGGATGCATTCTTAAGAGTCGATTGGTTTGCTATTCGTGTTATCCTTACTGATATAATGCAACTTCAGGTCGTGAAAGCTGCACAAGGCCGAGTGCCAGTGTTCTTGGATGGAGGGGTACGGCGTGGAACAGATGTTTTCAAGGCATTAGCACTAGGAGCCTCTGGTATTTTTGTAAGTACAAAAACCCGAAAAAAATTCAGTTGACATGAACTCAATCTCTAATTCTGTTTGTGGTCTTTCAGATTGGTCGACCTGTGGTCTTCTCATTGGCAGCTGAAGGAGAAGCCGGTGTGAGAAAAGTACTCCAAATGTTGCGAGACGAGTTTGAGCTGACTATGGCATTGAGTGGCTGCACTTGTCTTAAAGAGATTACTCGTAGCCACATTGCGACAGAGTGGGATGCTCCTCGCGCTCTTCCAGCTGCTCGGTTATAGAAATGTGCATCAAATGTACGACGGACTTTGAAATCGACAGATTTCAAGTTTACAAGAAAAGCTCATTTTATTTAAGAATCCATATATATGTTGAAAACGATTTGCCTTTGAATGCTGATGGAGTTATATATTTTCATAAATGGCCCGAGTTGCCTTTGGTGTATATTATGTGTTTTGAGCTCGATTCATCGATACAAATAGTTATCATATTTGGTAAAGTGAACTAACGACGTTAATTAAAATTTCAAATTGGGTGTCGGTAAAAATTTTTTGGGACCGGACTAATATATACACATTTTTATATTTTAAAATAAAAAAAAATGTGCATACCGTTTCTTTGGATAGCCATCGGGACAATTATGATCAACAATGTAAAATTTGTGCCTCAAGACGACCCATCGAAAGATACAATTACTTGTAAAATGCAAGATAATTATGAGTCGTGTTGGGATAAATTGGAAGGATGAATATGTTTACCTTATTCATTGGAAAAAACTTAAATAGATATGATAAAGTTTAAATAGAGTAATTGTTAAAAATACCTTTTCTTTTCTTTTTATTTGTATATTACTCACTTTCATTTTTTCATTTTTGTCGTTGGTTCAGGGTTAAATTTCCCTTTTATGAGCAACTTACTTCTTCACTTATAATTAAATTTTTGAGTTCAAGCCAAACATGCACTTGCGGCCTGGGCCCATATAAAATGAAAATTATGAACTTGTTTGAGCTGATTTTGAGAATTGATTTTTTGATTGATACGAGAAAAGTGAGATTCACATAGATATGACGATTAAAATAATAAAATAACGATAAAAAAATTAATTTTTTTGGCCAAAAAATAACTCCCAAATAAGTTACTAATCATATAAGGGATAAGTCCTCGCCCGGACAGAAAATCTAGTTACCAACTGACGTTCTGTGCTCCAAAGTTCCAGAGTCTAGGGTTTTACACACGCGCCGCCGCAGCTTACACCGATGACAAAGAAACGTGCGAGAATAACTAATCCAGAGCCGTTCTTGGCAGATGAGTCCAAGTCTCTCTCCGCCGTCTCCCACAAAAAACGCTCCAAGCCACCCAAGCCCCATCAACTTGAGCAGAAGCTAGTGCCCTTGGGCATGAGCTCAAAGATTTTGAAGGAAGCCTTGTCTCAGCAGAAGGAAATTCAAGAGGAAGAGGAGAAGCAGAACCCTAGTAATTTGGTATTTTCCGAAGAGCATGGAATTAAAGACGATGATTATGAGGAAGACTATATTGATGATTTCGGAGGATTTTCCGAGACGCAGAGTCAATTTGGACAATGGGATTTTGAGGTTCTCTCTTGACTTCTTTCTTTCTTCTTAGTGCTGCTTTTTTAGTTCACTATGTGTGTGTGTGTGTTAGGCAGTTTTTCTATGATACTTATTCAAAGGATCAATTTTTGCTCCGTAATACATTGCAGAAATTGAATGTGGAATTTCTAGTTTGTATTATTGGATATGATTTTTTAGTGAAGAGAAATTTGTTATGCATAATTGTTGAATTTCTTTGGAATGGATGCTAAATAAAAAAATTATTGAATTTGTTGTTTAAATATGTTTTGTATAAAGAGTAATAAAAACAAAACCCTCAAATTGGGAACACAGTTTTATGGAACTGTTTCTGATTTACCACGTCTTTCAAGTCACCATTCTCATTGGTAAGAGCATTTTTAGTTCTACAGTCATTTCCTTACCATATAAGTGTCCAGGGGCCCTTTCCGTGGATTTGTTGTTGTGTTGAACTCAAAGTGGATATTGCAGAAAATATATTTGTGATATTAGTTAATATTCAAAGGGGTGGTAGCTATGTTAAGAATGATGATATACCCTTTCTTGTCAAATTGGATGTTGGAGCTAAATTCTAAGCTTAATCTACTGTTCTACTGAATGTCCTTATATTCTGTGGAATTTAGCATATTTTTATTGAATTACTTATTTCTTGCAATTTCATTTGCTGCTAATGGTTATGATTTTCAAATTCTGCTTTCTTAAAATATGGATGTCTGATTTACATGTCCAATCAACATGTATTTTTCTCTTGGATGTTGTACATTTTTGGTTATTTTCCTGGGGGTTTAGAAAGGATGATATGGGATCTTTTGAATTCTTGAATTTGCATTGAGAAAATGAATCAACAATCAAGTATGTTCAGTTTGTATGACTATTTACTATACCACCTTAAATGAAGGGTTTGGGTTTCTTTCTTTTTGACCAGTTTAAGTTTCTCATTCATACTTATGTAGTACGTATTTTCCCCTGGTTACCCTCGATAGTGGATGCTCAACACAAATGATACCAGGTTTTCGACAACATAATGTTGGGATTTGGCTATTGAGAGGCCAGTGACATGAACAACTGTGGAATTTATTTTCTTTATGGACTTGATTTTTGTGTTGTTGTATTCATTGTTTACTATGCTTTTTCTTGGTAATAACATAGGATCAAATAAATGAGGAGGATGAAAAGCTTCTGGAGGCCTTCCTGTCTAAAGAAAATCGCCCTCAGCGCACGTTGGCTGACGTTATTCTTGAGAAAATCAAAGAAAAAGATTCCCAAGTTTCTAAAGGTTTTGTTTGCAATATTATCATATTAAAAAATTTATGGGATCTATTATTAGTTTAAAATTACTCACTCTGATTATGCTACATCTACTCCTGATGGTGCATGATCTTTGTAAGAATTTAATATATTTACACATTTTTTCAAAAGCTTGATTGTAAACATGGCCTGTCATTTTAGCGGTTTGACACCGTTCTGATCCTTTATGGTTGGGTATGATGAGCAGAATACTGATATTATTTACAATTTTGAATTCTGTTTTCTGTTATTGTTTTCTAGGAGAGCAACCAATGCCCAGATTGGATGACTCCATCATAGAGTTGTACAAGGGGTATATTAGTTATCTTCTGCTTAATATTAGTTGTGGACCTTTCTTTTTTCCTTTTGTGTGAGTCATCCTTGTTTCTAAGGCTACTTATGTTGGGTGGTCTATTATAATGCAGAGTTGGCAAGCTACTTAACAAATACACTTTTGGCAAGATACCAAAAGCTTTTAAACACATACCTGCTCTACAACTTTGGGAGGAAGTCTTATACCTGACTGAACCTGAGAAATGGTCTGCAAATGCAATGTATCAAGCCACAAGAATCTTTGCTTCTAATATGGGGGTCAAGAAGGTTGAACGCTTCTACAAACTTGTCTTACTACCACGCGTCAGAGAAGACATCAGGAAGAATAAGCGGCTGCATTTTGCCTTGTATCAATCTTTGAAAAAGGCTCTGTACAAACCGGCTGCCTTCAATAAGGGGATCTTATTTCCTTTATGTGAGGTATAAAACATTATGATGAAAATATTTAGTGTATGTTTGGTAGGGATTAAAATGAGATTTTTTAGTAGATTGTGATAGAAATTTTTGAAATGTGTCTTCGAAAAGTTGTGGGACCATAAAAAATGTGATTAATATTGATTGTTTGACTTTGACTTAGATTGAATTAGATTTTAATCTCTCCCAAACAAGCTCTTAGAAGAAAACTTCTAGCATAAGATACTAAATTTTGCTAGTTTAAATCCCAAACGTGCTTTGCATCTCGTGACTTACCTTGTTTGTCCATATTTGTAATAAGTTCCTCTTAGAGGAAGGTATTTTAGATAAGATTTGTCGCTTGGAGTACATTATATTTTGACTAGAAGAACCAGTGCAAAGCAACTGGAATAAACAGTGAGTATGAAAAATCTACCACCTTATGTGATTATTACTGTTTGGTGGCTCCTGAATAAGTTATGCTGATTTTCTGCAGCATTTAGCAAGGAATGCTTGTGCAAGTTAGAGTGTCTTGCACTCATATTTTTTATGTAATTCATTGGTCTGCAACACTGCTTTGGGATTTTCTTCTTGAGTCTGCTTGGATTTGCATTATTACTTTCTATGCAAGAAATAAGTGCCAATTTCTGATCCACAACGTGATTAGAAAATCATGACTAATGACTTTCAAGTTTCTTATGGTTCCTTCATGTCTGTGGCAAATGCGAGGAGTTTATATATAGTGTCAAGATGGATTCTATTTCAGATGCATTGCTTACTTCTTTTATTCTATTCCATGGTTTGAATCTTGCTGCACTTCTGATAGGCATATTTATATTTTTTGCCTCTGTTACAGTCAAGAACTTGCAATTTGAGGGAAGCTGTCATTGTTGGTAGCATTATTCAGAAGGTTTCCATTCCTCCTCTTCATTCCAGGTATCATGTCTTTTCAACCAAGCCAATGTATAGACCGCCCTAGAAGAATCTGTAAACACTTGGGGGCCCCGTTTGGTACCTATTTTTTTCAAAATGCATTTTTCTCTCTCTTCTTTTCAACCACACATTCTTCATTGAAATAATATTACACGTAAATAAAAAACTTTTCCTTATTTTTCAACCACACAAAATGCATTTTTACATAAAAATGGCGCCCAAACAATCCACAATGTACTGATTAGCAAGATTAAGTCTTACTTGCAAACGAACATAAAATAGATCTAGAAAAATAGTAATTATGTGTCAGACTTGTAATCTATTGCTAGAAGTGGATACAACTCAAAATTTCTTAATATCATCACTACTAATATGTTCTTGAAGGGAATCGTTAACTTTGTTATTGGCATCCTTGTTATAAGTTTATCTCATTCTTTGTCATCATCCTTTGATTGCAACGATATATTCTCCTTTAAATAAGCTAAATAAAAGATCAAACATTTTAAGATATAAAGAAATAGCTTAAAAATCTAAGACAAATAATTAAATGTTAGAAAACTTTAAAGCAAACGGGCAAACTCCTTAGTTTGCTTCACAAAATGACATTTTTGGTGCGGGTTTTTTTGGCCTTCTATGATAGCTTCACGTGAGTCAGGATTCAAGGCACTTGCCTCAAATAGTTTTTTTAAACCATGCTTATGAAACATCTTTTGGATCCTTAAGTGATACTTCTATAACTGCTTAATCTTTTAGCTAGCCCTTGGTTTTCTGCATATCTTTGTGTGTAATATTATATTTATTATCTTATTTGAGATTTCTCACAGTTTCTAATGGGCATGCAGTGTTGCACTAATGAAGCTTGCAGAGATGGAGTATTATGGCACTACAAGGTATATATATTTTCAACGATGTCATTCTGTATTTCCTTCAATCCTTTCAGTTAAAGCATTTTGAACTTTCGGTGGAGAATAATAAATGACTTAATTGACTTTCCAGCTCATTTATCGAATTTACATTGTTGCGTTAGACTGTTAATTCTTCAGATGATGATAACTAGTTAAAAGCAATGGTATAAGTGTCAAATGAACAAATGAATTTAGAATAGAATCATTTTGAAATGGTTTGCTTATTTTATATTCTCTACCGACCTTTTCATGGTGAAATTTACTAATAGTATCCTTTTGTATTCCGCGGCAGTTATTTTATAAAGCTACTGATTGAGAAGAAATATGCATTGCCATATCGTGTATTGGATGCCCTGGTTGCTCATTTTATGAGATTCTATGAGGACTCCAGAATAATGCCTGTGATCTGGCATCAGTCACTTCTTGCATTTGCTCAAAGGTTATTTCTCCTTGTTAAATTCGTTTTATTTCTCCAATTCTCTGCTTCTTTTGGACGTCGACATGCGTATTTGTTCTTTGTTTCGATAATCAGATGATATGTGAGATCGATTATTGTGTACACTATCTCCTCTTGCATGACTTCATAAATTTGGTGTAGGTACAAAAATGAGTTGACAAAGGAGGACAAAGCTTATCTCAACACTCTAGTCGAAAGGCAAAGACATAAATTAGTAAGTCAATCAGCCGAATTGCGGTTACCTATTGTTTCAGTTTGACGGGTGCTTGTGAATTGTGATCTTATTGGTTGTTATTTCTTTTCTCAAATGCAGGTTACTCCTGAAATATTAAGGGAATTAAATAACAGCCGCAATCGTGGGGAGAAGGACGACCTTATGTCGATATATATCCTTTTATTCTTTGATATGTGAGTTTATGTCTTTAATTGCTTTGCTTGATCTTGCTAGTTCCCCTTTCTATTGTTCACTTTGATTGGCACTTTTCTTGTTGCTCGGATATGCATCACGTACCTCACAATCAACTTCTATGAATATTTTATGTGATATTCTGTTCTTTCACCTCTCATGTACACACATCAAGGGAAAACACAAAACTGTAATGTGGTCAAATGCATGATATGAGAAAATGTGGATGCTTGGCAATGCTTAAATTATAATTTAAGCTGGTCAAATATTGTACCCACACATTTTGCAAGGTCCACAATTACCATCCGCTTATTATCCATTAATCACTTAAATTTTAATTGAAGCACTCCCAAACATGCTCAGTAACAATTCTCTCAGTTGATGCTTGTCCAATTTCACCAATCATTAGTACTGTGGTGAGCAAGGATTCATATAAACACAACATGGAGTACTCAGCAGGGGAAAGTTCGCCTTATTTCACATTCATCTCCAATTTACTCTTATTTCTTAAAGATTTTAGCTATATCAACCTGATCTCTCTCTTTAAACTTATGTTTCCTTGACTCCCTATTACCGACTCCAATTTCCGTGGTCAACAAAACGATACAAGAAGATAGGTTTGATATCCCAGACGTACCCATGGAGGAAGACTAAATTCATATTGCAGCTGATATTTTCATGGTAATATGCTTTCCCCTTCAAATTAAAATCGTCCTCTGAGAAAAAATCACTTCGGCTTAGATCTTATTCTGCTGCACTGCATATAATAATGTCAGCGCATGATGGGCAACTGTTTTTCTAAGGCTTATTCTTGGCATTTGAGTTCCTGATGCAGGTTTTATGCAGTACTTTGGCGACGGGGACTTATTGGTGTCCTAGATACGTTGACTTTGAGCAAATGTAGTTAGTCGAGCATTGATGGAGCTACCTAATATAGTTATCGGTCGAGGATTTTGAAATTTTGCTTAGAGCATTCTTTGTTTTGTGGGCGTACACATTTTCTCCTTGGAAACGTCTTTTGTTGTTTTAAGGTTATTAAAGTTTAGGTTGTCTTCCTTGAAGTTGAGTCTGTGAAGACACAGAATTTTTGGTTGCCAGTATTTTTAAGTCATTTTTATTTTCTTCTATTTTTAAAATATTAGAAGCGAGTTTAATGTTAAATATTTAACATTTCAAAAAACATTTTTTTTTTCAAACTCATCATTTTAATAAGAATAAATCAGTTTTGTGCCAAAGTAGCAGTAGTCTATTACTTTAGCAAGCTGGTTACACCTACAACCGAAATGGAAATTGAGCGTTTCGTGGTTCAAAAATTTGAATCTTGTCTGAACCATTGTTTATCAGGCCTCCTTGGCTTAAGTTCCTCGGCCCATTACAATTCGATAAGGCTAAAATTTTCTTCTTTACAAGTAAAATTATTTTTTGGTTTTTTTGTAAATTTTTTTTTTTTTAGTCCAATCTTGGATCGATCCTTCATTATTTTTATTTATTGAAATTAAATATTATTCCCAAAAGTAATAATACGTGGAGTATATTTATTCAATCATGGCAGTTTCATTGGTAATTAATTAGTCACTTATTTTTATAACTCTCTTTTTCTTTTTGTCAAAATATTAAGTTTTTCCTAGTAAATAGCACTAGGAAATTTAACTTCATTAGGGTTGCGGGTTGCCTCTGCACAAAAGAGACGTCGTGATAGGAATAATGGCTTTTGAAAACAAAGAGATACGAAGCGGAAGTTTGGTTTGGATTAAAAATTTAATTTTAAGTCAAAATTAAACAATCAGTATTAACTATATTTTTTATGGATTTTACAATTTTTTAATTACATATTTCAATAACTTCTATGACAATTTAATAAAACATTTAATTTTAATTTCCACCAAACATTCTATAAGTTTTTGTTTGGTTTATGATTTTAAGTTGTTTAGAAAGTTATAAATTAATTTTATTCATAGATTTTGAATGAATCATAAGTACTATTCATTTATTTATCATTTATTTTTATTTATTTATAATTTAAATCGTTTATAGATTTCCAAATGGGGGAATGTGTTGCTTGGTATCACATAAATGAATATAGATAAACTGATATTGAATTTTATTTATAAAAAAACCTAAACCAAATTTGTATACAAGATGTTAAAAAATCATTAATTTGGTGCAAAATGTTGGAAGAGTTAGTTGGCAAATTGGTGAGTCGTGAGAATTGACACATTAAACCTAAATAAAATCAAGAAAATATAATAAATACAACAAAAATATGGATCCTCTTTGGTTTCATCGCCACCTTCTCATTTTCCCCTCTCAATCTCCGCCCCCTCCATTTTCAATTTTTTCTTAATACCTTCCCTATTTAATCTCTCTCAGCTAAGCCCTTTATTTTTCTCATTCTCCATCTCTTTTACGTACGGACGTTCTGTAGAGAAGGGTGTTTTTGATTGTATAAACATGGCTGCCATGCTGCAAGCAATCGGAGTAGCATCACCTTCAGTTGCCTTCTCGGATCACTATAATGAATCCTCTGTTTCGTCTATTCGATCTTTCCCAGGTTTCTTTCTTTCTTTCTTTTTTTGTATGTTCTTTTGGTTTTTGTTTGTTTGTTTTGGATGTATTGTCTTATGTTCTTGTAAAGATCCAAGAATTGTCGAAACAATGAAAAGATGGAATTTTTGGTTTATGGGCTAGGAAAATGTTGTTTTATTGAGCTTAGTTTTACAACCCAAATTAGTTTGTATAACAAGAACCTAAATTATATTGAAGGAACACAGTTTCTGAAATTTGATTTATTTCTGTGTTTAATTTTGTGTTGTTTTCGTCAGTCATCAGATCTGGTTCGAGGTCGATTTTGGGTTCTGTCAAACCAGGAAAGGTTATTACCAAAGCAACTGCGGTCAGTGTCTTCTTTTTACCCTCTTATTGTTTTAATTTTTAATTTTTAATTTTTTCTTATGTCTAAAATACTCTGTTCTATTGTGATATATGTGGAATTTATCAGACACAGACAGAGAGTTCTGCTTCAGCAACTTCAAAACCTGGGTAAAGTTCTTACTGTATAAATATGCTTACTGCAGTGTATTTCCATCTGTGTTTTTCTGCTTGTAGGCTTGACATTTTGATTGGAATATTTAGACCGTGGCATTCAAATTTAAGGATTGGCTAGGATATGAAGAAATAATAATAGACATAATTACACTGTACTACAATTTCAAATTTGACATTATAGTGAATCCTACCGCACCATTTGTCGATGCCTAGTAAACTTTTGCCTTGTGGTTTGAAGATACAACTTTTCCATCTATATTGTTTTTAAATTAGCACGGCCAAGACAACTCTGTGATGGACACGTTGGCACATTTATCAAATGCATTCCAAACATCAAAGTAGCCTGTACCTTCGTAATGCCCAAATTTCTATGAACTTGTGATGTCTTGCACTAACATTTTCGCTGGTGCATATGTCTAATGGTGATACTGCTAAGTGCGAGAACCTGAACAAGTGATTCTAGAACAAAATTTCATATCCGGCTCAATAGAGTTATTTGTTTATGGTAGGACATACTGTTACTGTTGGTGTCACCAGACACAAGAAGAGCCAGTAACCTAGGAAATCCTGAAAGTAGGACGTTAGAGATGGCAATAGTGCGGTGATGAGGATTATTTTGTTAATAGGTAAAAAAAGTGTATAGCAAAACTAAAAATGCTCTCTATTTATGAGGAGCCTTATATTGTTTAATAAGGCCTTGTTGGGTAAGTGATTATGGCGGTTTGGGGTGGAGAGGGAGAGTTTCTGGAGAGAAATTATAGAAGAGAAATATGGCATGATGGAGGGTGGATGGTGTTCAGTTGAGAGCCGTGGTACCTACGGGGTGAGTTTATGGCAGTTTATTCGACGAGGGTGGAGTGACTTCCGGAATAGAGTGACTTTCGGTGTGGGGAATGGCAACACTATCAGCTTTTGGGATGACTGTTGGTGTATTGATCAACCGTTAAGGGAGCGATTTCCTTCTTTGTATCGTATTGCCGTGATGCCATCTGCTATGATGAATGATGTATTAGATACACATAACGGGAGCATCAGTTGGAACATTGTTTTTGGGAGGGGACTACAAGATTGGGAAGTGGATGATTACATAGTGCTATTGACCTCTTTGTATGACGTGCATATCAGGGTTGGAGAGTGTGACCGCATTAGGTGGATGCCGACAAGGAATGACATTTTCTCAGTTAGCACTTATTTCAAATCCTTATTGGGATCTGCGGAGAATTTATTCCCTTGGAAGATGGTATGGAAGTGTAAACTGCCTCCAAGGGTGGCATTTTTACTATGGACGGTAGTGAGAAGACAAGTTTTAACGGCGGACAATTTTCAGTTGAGGGGGTTTTATATTACAAATTGGTGTCATATGTGCAGAAAGGATGGGAAAACGGTTGACTATTTGTTCCTGCATTGTGATGGTGCCCGTTTGCTGTGGAATGATATTTTGGCTTCTCAACGTATGGATTGGGTGATGCCACGGCATATGGAAGATTTGTTGAAGGTTTGGAGGAGAAAGTTTCGTGACAAGGACAGTAAACTCGTTTGGAATCTTATTTCAGGTTGCATTGTTTGGTGCGTGTGGAGAGAAAGAAACGGGCGCTGTTTTGATGATCAGATGAAGACTTTAGAACAGTTTAGAGAATTATTTTATTTGACATTTTATAATTGGTTTAGTGTTGTAGCTTCTAGTCCCATAGATGGGCTGCCTAACTTCATGACATTTATTTCTTGTTTAAGTGTATAATACACTTCCTGTGTATTACCTTTTAATTAATAAAACACTTGATTATTTATCAAAATTTTTTTTATGATAATGTGAACATATACTTATAACTGTGAGTATTAATAATTGGTAATCGCTTTGTTATGAAGATGAAGTCTTGGAGATTAATGTTTTAGTGTGGAGGAATCTGTGTACTGGTATAATCTCCACACGTTATGTTATGCTATATTGAAAGCATGGCACACGTAAGAAATGAGCTTTACTAAGCTGACATGCAAAATCACGTTTATATGGTCTTTGTATATTGTTTTCTAAAATGCACAATACCACTCATGTCTTGTAACGTGTCTTAAGTCTGAATAATTGAATTCTCGGAAAAGTCTTAGATAATTATTTTACATGTGTAGGCACGAGCTCTTGCTGTTTGAAGCCCTTAGAGAAGGGCTAGAGGAAGAAATGGATAGAGATCCCAGGGTTTGTGTCTTTGGTGAAGATGTTGGCCATTATGGAGGTTCATACAAGGTCACCAAGGGACTTGCTGAGAAATATGGAGATCTCAGAGTGCTCGATACACCAATTGCTGAAAATTCTTTTACAGGCATGGGTGTAGGGGCTGCTATGACTGGTCTAAGACCTGTTATTGAGGGCATGAACATGGGATTTCTTCTATTGGCTTTCAACCAAATTTCTGATAACTGTGGCATGTTACACTACACCTCAGGTGGGCAGTTCACTATTCCAACGGTTATTCGAGGACCAGGAGGGGTTGGACGCCAACTCGGGGCTGAACATTCGCAGAGGCTAGAGTCTTATTTTCAGTCAATTCCCGGAATCCAGCTGGTCGCCTGTTCAACTGTTTACAATGCCAAGGGTCTGATGAAGGCTGCCATCCGTAGTGAGAATCCTGTTGTCCTTTTCGAACATGTGCTTCTTTATAACCTCAAGGAGAGAATTCCTGATGAAGAATACGTATTGTCACTGGAAGAGGCAGAGATGGTGAGGCCTGGGGAACACATTACAATCTTAACATACTCCCGGATGAGGTACCATGTCATGCAAGCTGCCAAGACTCTTGTCAACAAAGGTTATGATCCTGAGGTCATTGATATTAGGTCTTTGAAACCATTTGATCTCTATACAATTGGAAATTCTGTGAAGAAAACTCACCGGGTGCTTATAGTTGAAGAGTGCATGCGGACAGGTGGCATTGGAGCCAGCCTTACAGCAGCAATAAATGAGAATTTCCACGATTATTTGGATGCACCAATTGTTTGTCTCTCCTCACAGGATGTGCCGACTCCTTATGCTGGGACATTGGAGGAATGGACTGTGGTTCAACCAGCACAAATTGTTGCTGCTGTCGAGCAGCTCTGTCAGTAACTTCTGCAGGAGTAGTTTTGAAATCTAGTTGAAGATGAAGACTCATTTCCGTCTGCCATAATTTTTGGCAATGTTACCGCCTTGTTCGCTTTGTATGAGAATCTTATTGTATTTTTGTTGCTATTTTCTTTTCTTTTCTTTTTATTTTATAGCTGGAGCCAATGTGCTTTGTTTGGTATTAACTTGTCAGCGAGAAATTTATGTTTGTTTAGTTATTTATTTTTCAATCTGAAACTTCAACATGAAGAACCATTAATATTCCATTGTGTCAGTGACTCATAAAAATGCCATTAAAAAATTCTGTCTACTTTGAAGATTGAAGGCCTTTCTCATGTTTCTACGTTTACTCAAATATTTAGCAGCATCTGGAGAAGGCAGTTGTTATTGTGTACCACATGTGATGTCCATACATGCCTCAGAAGATCATTATTTTTCTCTCTAAACTTCCTATTCTCTAACGGTGAACTGAAAGGAATGGGGAAAAAAGTTTATGTAGCTAACCTCTAATTTGTTGGGAGCAAGGCTTAGTTTGATGTTTATATCTTAGCCTTTTCCTTAGGTTTCTTTGGTGATTGGAAAGAAGCCAGATAGGTGTCATTGGTGTTTCTCAACAGAGGACAATTGAATTTGAACTCATCTTTTGGGATTTCATGTCACATAAATTTCTGATGGCATTTTTGTGATTTTCCAAATTCATTGCCTTTATAACCTTAAAATTATTCCATTCTTCCTCGAAGCTGATTATCAAAATCAACAAAGTTAATGTTAAACTAGAATCTTTCTTATCTGTCATATATATTGAGCATTCATCGACTTCCATCAATATCTTCTTCATGAATAAGTTGATGTACTTAAATGTTTAATGACTAATGTAATGAAAGTAAAATGCTTCCTTTGGGTGCCCCCCTTTTTGGTCCATTAGGACTGAATATTTTGGTTTTCTGATATACATCACAATGGAATAAATTCCCATTAAGATGCCTTAGGAATGGACTTCAACGATCCCCTCTCCACTGGATCTGTTCAAAGGAGTACCTTCAAAAAAAAAAAATTGGAATTTATCCTCTCCCTCCTCCAGCCACTTCATTTCGGGTTAAGACGTGAAAGCCATTTATCTCTATAAGAATGGTCATTCTGATGTGTGAGTGGGAGAGAGACGTCATAATTGGAGTTTGGATTTTGGTTTTTCAATTTTTTCATTGAAAAAGGAATAAGAATGGGAGGTGTTAAGCTTTTTACATCCTTGCTTAGAACTCTTTTTCCGTGAGATCTCCCCTATAGTATCGTCACCGAGTAGGGTTCAACCACTAAGTTTGAGATGGATTGGTGTGGTTCCTTAACATCTTTCATCTATGGTTGGTTTGTTTATCTACGTGAGGATGAAGTTTTCATTACGCATAGCAATTTACTTATCTTAATCCCGCTCTGTAGAATTGATCTTTTGCCACTAGTGGGCAGGATAAAAATGTCAGCGGTGGGAAGTTTTTATCCAACTCCTTGTCCCATTCTATTAATTCTTGCTATTAATTCTTACATGCTTCATAAGAGTTAGTATGGGATAATTGGCGTTTATAGGTTCATTTAGGCTAATTATCATTTTTCTACATTTGTTGAAGCCCATATAATATAAGTAGGTATAGAGTATGAATTAGACATGTTTATATGCATTTGCTAAAGCTATTCTAGTAACTGGTAACTGGTAACTGGTCATCAAAATATATTTTTCGTTCATATATTCCTCATTTGGTTTGGAGATGTTGCTCTTTTTCGATGCTGTCAATCTTCCTTTGCAATTCCCGGTGGATTCCTTTCAGTTATCGATTGTGGATGACAGATTTTCCAAAGCCGACTGATACACTTTCAGATGTTCTGTTCGCACGAGGTTGATATTGAACTTTTAAGTGGAGAAACAACTGTCGTGTTTTCTGGTTCGTCTTCTTTCTGATATACTGAACTGATTGTTTAATATTATCAAATTCCGAATCATTTATGGGTCCTGATGTTCCACGTTGAATTTGAACACTTGCATGCCTAATTTAACATATTGTTCGTTACTTACAAACATGTGGACGTGCACGCTGCACCTGGAGAGGGAGAGCCAATCTTGCTTTAGCTTCTACAGTTTTATATCTTTGTTAGTTAAGCTGTAATATAAGATAGGTGATGAAAGGAATCTTTTACTATTGTTTAAATGCTTACTGGATTTTGAATGTTGGCAGTCATGTGGGTGACTGACTCATGCCATGGTGTCAAGCATCAGTTCATCAAGAATCAGCAAATTTGGCATGAATTTTACCTAGTAAATCCCATCATCCTTTTCAAATTTGTGGGCCGTTCATCTTCTGTTGTTCTAGGTTCGACTTGTTGGTGACAAACTCAAGACAACCTCGGATGTGACCCACTCTAAAAAAGGATTAGGAGTTTCATAATGCCATCCCTAAAACTTAAATTGAGGTTGGACAAGAAGTTTGACCATGTGCCGTCGTCGTTTAAAAACATTATCATTATCTCTTGAAAAGGTAATTCACCAATAAGGACGTTACCCCTGGACAACCATTCTTGAAAGGACAAGTGTCATATCTGACGTTAGCCCCTCCTCTTCCACCAATCAGGAAATAGTAGATTATTTAAGTAATAGACAATCATGATCTATGCAACAACTATATCCTAGGTGAAATGATGACTTGACCTAACCCGACCTGCCAATCTTAGCAGCCAATGAAAACTTTTCAGAGAGGCACACACATCGTGATTAGGATTGTAGCTTGATGTGATTGAGGTGGCCAACTCTCGTTAACGGCCTATAAATAGGGATATTGGTACCCCACTTAAGGCTGAACTCAATAAATTCCTTGTAATACACTTCAAAAAAGTAATCTTTTCTTTTACAAAATTTCAACAATTACTCTACTAAATTTATCTTAAGTTAACCTAAATGTGCCATATTATTTTTAGTCATCAACACGACTAACAGCACAACTCACATAAATATTGGGTATAATGTAAAGGTGTAAGAAAAGTAGGTGTCTCATACTATATTTAGTTAAGTTTCTTAAAGGCTATGCTGATGATAGCTTTAGCTTCTTTAATGAAGTCAGTAAGATTTGCAGACAAATCCCTGACGATGTTGTCTACCCTTTTAAAACTGTCACCAGCTAAGCTGTATATCTGTGTAGTACTTTCTGGAAAACTCTGAGGGTACACGTTTAAAAAAAGTTGAACCCCAATCTGGAGGGCCTCCATTGTCCTGTCTCTAGAGTTTTGTGAGGGAGGTAAATCGCGAGATGTGCCCTAGCAGGTCAAGGAACAAGAGTTGTCTGTCCACTGCACCTATAAGGAGTCCAATTCCATGTTTCAGGAATCGAACCCCCACACTGCGGCTGCCAGTAAGGCGTGATATAACCTCACTCCTGTCCTTTGCACCATTAGACTATTCACCGGGGGTTCTCAGGGTACATGTTTGCACGTATTGGAATCTGACTTCAGTAAAACTTCATGTTCGGTTTTAGTTTTGGGGTTGTTATTTGTTCCTGGAAAGTTGTGTAGGAAAACAAGTCACTAGTGGATGAAACAGATTGTATAAGTTTTATTCAATTACAATAGCCGACAATTGAAATTAATAACCACAAGACAAACGATTTCAATTTATCAAAAAAAATTTCGTTTCATAATTTTCCAACGGCTGAAAAAAAAATATTTAGTAACACAAAATCAGAAATATAAGTTAATTGTAGGCTAAAACTGTAAACGATGAATTTGGAAGTTGCAAACTATGGAACTACAAACTGCATGAATTAAATAGTAATGCGAAAATAATCTGTAGAAAGAAAACACAAACTGTAGCAGATTTCAAATCGAGGCCTGTGCGTGCACAGTTTCCTTAAGACAGTTTCGCCCCCTCACCGTAGGTGCTGGAGGTTCAGTTCGAGCGGCTATCTCCCAGGATACAACGGTAATAAGCAGAATCCGAGCACCGCGGTCATACTCCGGCGAACTGATCTAGTATCTGAACAATATCACTACAAGAACAAGACATTATTAGACAAGGAATGCAGAAAAGAAGAAACTTCGTATGCAGGAATGTAGGTGAGATTTTTGAGTATGTTAGATTGCTGGAGAATGAGTCTTTTTATAGGCATATTGCCCATTAATATTGTGACCATTGGGAGTTTTTTCAGTTTAGAAACTCAAAAGTCATTGGAGAAGGCAAAAAAAAAAAAAAAAGCAAAACGTGGGCTCTCCGATGGGGTCATTTTTGCCTTGTTCGGTCCGACATTCGTGTGCCCAGGTTGCGCCCGCACCCAAGTTCAAGGTCCGAAGGCCATTTCGTTCGTGATTTGCACCCCCTGCGCGCGCACGTGGAGAGAGCCTCTATGCTACACATAATTAGATATCTCCAAAGCATAGCCATATATAAAGTGATTTGAGTTTCCTTGGTTTTCCTATGTAAGATAAATGCATTTTTTCCCACAAAATCAACTTCCAATGACCAACTTTGAGCTTCAATTTCTCATTCACCTGAGTTTCATTTTTGGCAAATAAATACATGAAATTGATGTTCTCGCGGAGGAGAACACATATCAACTTTGATATTCCACATTGGACCAATGGTTCCCATCGAAAATTGTGCCAAAGGTGAGCCGCTCACTCAATTTTTTCCTAACAATCCCCCACATGAATGAAAATTGGGAGAGACACGAAACGTGAGACACAAGACTTGGTGATAAAGTTTAGCGGTTGAATCCTGCATAGGATAGGTAGGTGTTACCCTTTGAACCTTCCCTTGTGAAAGCATATTTACTTTACTGACTGACCAGTAGACGCGATGTCCTTGAACTGTTCTGCCATTTGTGTAAACGATGATATACCTCACACAGGATTCTTCCTAACACAATCCAGTTCTCATTGTTATGTTCGTTTTGGCCATGAACATATGCCTAGTTCTGTGAGAGTTCTTAAGAATTGAGCCGCACACAATTATCTTAGAAGCGGCCCCACTTCTGTCTCACATAGGTGATTTCTTATTACAAGTAACCTGCATTACTTTGCTTGATTTACGACGCATAAGAATCATTAAAAACCTATTGCTTAACCTTCAACCTTACGGGCATCACTGCTACATCATAGGAATAGACAGGAGGTAATACCCCCACAGTGATTTTATCAAGTTTTTACAGTTAGATTTTCCCATTGAACCTAGATCTTGGGATCTCCAGTCAACTAGATTGAATTTTCCTTTGTAATGACTTATTCTTTCAAGGGC